TTATGAAATCCTTTTTTTAACATTAAGTAATAATGCACATTGCATTAGACAAAGTCTTACATAGTTTTATTTCTTTGTGGACATTAATGCTGTCTTAATAATAATAATAATAATAATAATAATAATAATAATAATAATAATAATAATAATATATCACTTGTAATGGTCAATGCTTTTCTGAAAGACTTGGTATTACCACCTGTTTATTTTCCTCACCTTCATATGTGAGTGAATTTGAAGATATGATTTGTATTTATATGTATGTCTCTGCATGTTGTTTTTTTTGTTCTCTTTATTTGTGTCCACAGGAAATTCATCCATGATGTAAAGACCAGCAGTGACCTTGGAAACAAAGTCATAGCTGGCAAAGTTCTGGCGAAATCTGTTCTGCGTACATATGAAACCAAAAAGAAGGAGAAGAAGTTTTTCTTTTACCTGGGAGTGGCGGATGAAACAGGCAGCATTAAAGTGGTGGTGTATGGAAGAGAGCACTATCAGCTTTTCCAGGAGAAGAGCTGCTACCTGTTCAGAAATGTCATCCTGGACGAAAATGTCATGAAAGTGACCACCAAGAGCGTCATATCAAAGACAGCAGCTATCGATGTTCCTGAGAACCTGGAGATGGAAGCTCAGAGGCTCGGTTATTCCCAGACTCCAGTTTGCTCCATCGAACAGGCCATCGGATCAGCGGAGAAGACATCAGTGAGTGTTCAAGGAAAAGTAAGAAAGGTAAGTGTGACCTGAATATGCTGCAGTGAAGCTGTGAGGGCGCTCGTCATGTTTAGCTTAGTGTCCTGCTGAAGGCTGTGCTGTGAAAAAAACGACTTTAACTGTCCCACAAAGATTTTTCTGTGTTAAATATTAAATATATTACAAACAGATATATTTGCTCAGTTTAACCTTTACAGACTATTTTGTATGTTCACAGTGGTCCAGGTCAGTTTTGACTCAGTGTTCATAGCAAATTTGAAGCTTCAGATCTATTTAGAATACAGAATAGTGCATCTGATAGATGATGAATCTTCAATTAATGTTTCAGAGAACAGGGAACAGAGAACATCTTTTAGGTTTTATAGGACACACTGGTCAGATTATCTCAGTGTTCCAGTATCACCCCTGAAGGAGTTGGAGATGATGGCTGAGGGAGTGGGAGGTCTGCACATATCTGCTTAGACTGCTGGCTCGGTGACTCTGGGGTTGAGCAATGAAGCCATCACAGTGGCAACAGCTAAAGTTCCTCTAACAGCAGCTTGAGGCTGAATTTGTGATTCCAAACTTCACAGCAGAAATAAACATGCACAGGAGAGTTGTTGGTCTCTGAGTTGTTGTCATGTTGTGTTGTTGGTTTGTTCAGATTGACACACTGAAGAAAAAACAGGGATCAGCCAACAGGAAAGAGTTCCAACTTGAGGACGGCACAGGCTCCATCAGGATCACTTTGTGGGGCGAAAACATCAAACAGCTCAGAGGAAAATCACCTGGAGACTCTGTCAGGGTGGTCAATGTAGAGACGAATCACTACAATGATTCAGTATCGCTGAACTCAACAGATTTCACCAGAATTTTTAAGGTAATTTCTGATTCTGGCTTCAGTTTGAAATGTGTTTTACATTTGGTATTGATTCAAAGCAGACTGTCAGCTTTGACCTCCTACTGGAACATTTCCTCACTGTTGTTGAGTCTCTGCTCTCTAGTTAATCCAGCCGTACATGTTCTAAGTGTCCCCACCAGGTGGTTCACTGTGAGGGTCTCCCTGTGGTCTGACAGACTCATCTCCACCATCTTGGACTTAATCTGTTATTAGACTCAATTGGCTTCTCTCAAAATGTAAAAGAACCCACCCACCACTTTAATCACACTCTAGATCTTGTTTTAACATATGGCATAGAAACTGAACATTTAACAGTGTTTCCTGAAAACCCTCTGCTGTCTGATCATTTCCTGATAACATTTACAATAATTGATTACACAGCGGTGGAGAGTAGACTTTATCACAGGAGTGATAAAGTGACATATTTAGGAGTGCTTCTTCTTGAATTATAAATTAAAAAAAACTGTATATTGGAGCAATCAGTTCCACAATGCAACCATCTGCTGTGTATCTTCCTCTAGTTCCCAAACCCTTGCTGTTCCCATCTATGGATGTAGCATTTATGTGTCTTATCTTTCTGTCCAGGAGAGGGTGGTCTCCAAACAGAAGAACAAACAGAAAAGTAAGAAAAAGGGTGAGTTTACATCAAGGTATTCTTTTATGTTCGGCTTGTACAGATGGTCTGTGAGCTTTGAATGTGAAGCTTGTGGTCAATGAAAATTATCATAGAAAAAAAGAGTTTTTTTCCACGTGTGTTCTGTTTATGTATGTACTCTGGCCAAAATACCCAGACAGTAATACCAATACATATAACATTATTGGAGCTACTTTTACAAAGTGGCAACTGAACTATTTCAAAGTAGCACAGAGTTTGTTATTAAATAAATCAAACAATTTCTATGTTCTTAAGTTGATGAACAATTTGCCCCTGCAGTCTTTCCACAGAGTGGAAAAGACTGGATTTTAGTCCCTAAAATATGGGTACAGTCTCATATTATTTATTTATTTATATAGCACTTTTAATTACAACGGAGGTGTTGACCAAAGTGCCGTACAAACATACAAATTACACAATAAAATAACACATAATAAAATAGCAATATAAATTAACACCAATGCCAAATAGCTAATAACAAATAAATAAGTAAATAACGCTCATGCAGTATTAAAAGCCAGTGAGTAGAAATGTGTTTAAAGACAGGATTCAAATAGGTTAAGGGTAGGAGCCTGTCTAATGTGGAGAGGCAAATCATTCCACAATTTAGGCGCCACGACTGCAAATGCACAATTACCTCTAAGAACCAGCCTCGACCTTGGTGTGGCCAAGAGCAAAAGATCACCCGATCTAAGAGCTAGGGGGCAGGCTGCAGTAGGTCTGACAGATACCCTGGGGCCTGTCCATTCAGTGCTTTATAAATCACCAATAAGATTTTATAATTGATTCTAAATCGTACAGGGAGCCAGTGAAGAGAGGCAAGCACCAGGGAGATATGTTCATTTCTCTTCGTTCGTGTCAAAAGATGAGCAGCGGCATTTTGAACCAGCTGGAGCCTTGCAAGACAAGTCTGACTAATGCCGACATATAAAGAATTATAATAGTCCATTATAATTGGGATAGGATGAAAGCATGAATTGCCCGTTCTAGGTTTTTAAAAGACAAAAAAGATCTCACCTTGGATAAAAGCCTCAGTTTAAAGAAAGACCGCTGTACAACTAAACTAATCTGTTTCTCAAAGGTGAACTTATTGTCAAATATAACCCCCAAAGTTTTAGCATGCAATTTGGTAAAAGGTTCTAAACTGTGCAAATTAAAATGTGAGGTTCTAGAATTGCAACTTGGTCCAAAAACAATCACTTCGGTTTTATTTTTGTTGAAATTGAGGAAATTAGAGGCCATCCAGGCCTTGACTTTGCCGACACACTGAAATAAAGGTTCTAGTGAGGCAGAACTGTTTCTCTTCAGCTGAAGAAAGATCTGTGTCGTCAGCATATGAGTGAAAACTAATATTATATTTCCTGAAAATGAGACCCAGAGGCAACATATAGATAGAGAGTAGAATTGGCCCCAGTACAGCACTCTGGGGAACACCACAGGTAAAGAGGGCTGTGGAAGAGATAAAATCTCCAATCTTCACTGAGAAAGTCCTGTCAGAGAGGTATGACCTGAACCACTCTAATAGAGTGCCTTTGATGCCGGCAGTGCTCCAACTGTGAGATCAAGATGCTGTGGTCAACAGAATCAAATGCAGCGGTCAAATCCAAACGCAAAAGCACAGCTGAGTCGCCTGAGTCAGTGGCTAGTAAAAACCTTGTTAAACCTCGTTAAAAACCTTTAAAAGTGCAGTTTCAGTGCTATGAAAAGTTTTAAAACCAGACTGAAACCTCTCGAGAACATTGTGACCATGTAGAAAAGATTGCAACTGAACAAATACAATCTTTTCTAAAACATTTTTGACAGAAAGGGAAGCTGTGAAATAGGCCGGAAGTTTGCCAGAACAGAGCAATCGAGATTAGGTTTTTTACGCACTGGCTGCACAACAGCATGTTTAAAACAGGCTGGCACAACACCTGATTTAAGACTGCTATTAAAAATCGCTAAAATGTCAGAACTGACAGCCTTAAAAATCCTTTTTTAAGAAATGTGTTGGAACAGCATCATTTGGACAGCATGATGTCTTTATGCCATTACAAAGTTCTTCCACCTGATCAAAACACACAGGCTCAAACTGATCAAAAACAGCAGAGCAGGTGAATTTTGCAAAAACGTCATGTGAAGGCAGGGCGGTCATAAATCGAAGAGGTTTTATCTTATTGAGCTATTCTCAATAATATTGGCAAAAACTTTGATTTTTCTGCTTTTACAATGTCCTGGTATCTATACAGGCTGTCTCTCAGCATCAGGAAGGACACCTACAACCCATCTTTTTTCCACTTACATTCAGCCTTCCTGTACTCTCGTCTGGCTGAATGAGTGGCCTCATTTATCCATGGGTCTGATTGTATTTTCAAGCTAAAAGTTTTAAACGGGGTAATCTCATTAAGAACGATTTTGCATTTATCATTAAAAGCTGATGCAATCTGCTCAGTACCATCGCTGAGGGGGATCTTGACACTTTTTTAAAAGCAATAGAAAATTGTTCTGTTGTAGATGGTTTAAATACACAACAACAGCATATTGGAATAATAGATTTAGGATGGCAATAGGATAAAAGTATGTCAAATACAACAGGACAGTGGTCAGAAAAAAACGTGTCACATATTTCCATGTTTGAGACTGGTAGACCTAGAGACAGCACAAGATCCAGCTTGTGACCCTGTTTATGGGTTGGTCCCGACACAAACTGGGTAAAACTGAAGGAGTCTATCAAACTTAGAAAGTCTCTGGCCAGTGGATTTGAAGAACAGCACACATGAATATTAAAATCACTAACAATTAAAATTCGGTCATAGCTCAGGACAATTCCTACTAAAAAAATTTGAAAACTCTTGGATAAAATCTTTATGGAATTTTGGAGATCTGTAGACTGCTGTGACAAGTGTCGGTCGAAGATGCCCCACTTCAAACAGCAAAAGTTCAAAACTTGAATAAGAGTCAGTTAAAACTTGTTTGCATGCGAGCTTCTTCCTAAAAACAGCCGCCACTCCACCACCAAGTCTACCCATCCTTGGTAGATTAAGGTATTCACAGTCAGAAGGTAAAAGTTCGGTAAAACAGCTGGACTCACCGGCTCTCAGCCAAGTTTCCGTCACTAGCATAAGATCCAGGTTCCGGTTGGTAAGAAGAAATCCTTCAGAATGAAAGTTTTGTTTGCTAACGAGCGAGGATTAGCAAGACTTATTCTTAATGGTGTCAGAGGCTCAGAGGCTGAAGTAGGAGCCTGACCTATCGGCCGTAAGTTTTGAGGATTTACTCCACTCAAGCGAAGATAGAAGGGGCGCAGGCGCGGGGTTGTTGTGATGTCAGGTAGGTGTAAGTCATGTCCAGAGAGGGCCAGTAGTTGACGCCGTTGAATCCAGTTGCAGTAGTGTGGGATAATTTTCCAATACATGCGAGGGTGGTCTTCACTCTCACCAATAAGCCACCGAAACTGGCTGATGATAAGGTGGGGCCAGGTTTCACAATGAACACACCTGAAACTCTGGCTGATTGGGACCCACACCCATTTTCACACCTTGGCTCAGGCGATTAGAGGCTCATCAGGGGGTCCTTTTGTCCCTCTGTGGGGGGTTACTCCCACTAGGCTTATATCTGGGACTCTCCACCATTTGACCTTAGAACTGAAGAAGCTTCTTGGATGAGAGGTGAAACGTCTTCAAGTAACTTAAAGAAGTCCAGACGCTTTTCTTTGCAAGCTCCTTTGACTACGATGACCTGGATGACTGAGAACCTTCACAGACAATAAGCCACTGTGTTTCCCACGACATCTGCGACACCCTCTCAGCTGGGGTAACACCGAAGCATAGCAGAGACAAGCTGAAAGTGGAACTCTTGGCAAGAACGGTGGGGAGAAGGTTCCCTGATATCCAGGATTACAATTAAAAGTTTTAAAATAAGAAGATCTTATCGCCGGAAGCGTTTGGCGGTCATATACACGCAGAGAGTTACCATTTTTTAAGTCAGATAAAATAAATAACACAAATACGAGCAGAGTCAGACGGCAAGTCGTACACACTGGCGCCATCTTGAATCCAATGAGGGTAACTTGCGCCATCATTGACCTCAATATGTTTCTATTTAGAATAGTATTCTGGTGAACACCAGTAGAAAAGGCATCTCTGCAGCGCTACCTGATAATACTCTCTGAAACTCTCGGAAGACCCAGTCCTTCTCTCCCCTTCTCTAGCTGGAGAGTTTTCAATTTTACCCTCGGTTTTGACCCCTTCCAAATAAATCTACTCACTTGTTTGTTCCATTTGGAAAATTGGGCATCCAGGATATGGACTGGTAGTCCATATCCCAAGGGATAAATTCAACAATCTGGGTAATATGTTCATTTATATAACCTCTGGTCTCATATAATGTGTTTCGTTCTCTTGTTAGATAGACTGATAAATATTTTTTAATTTTCTGAATCCCATTTAAGTTTGTATTTTTTGTCTGATATTTAATTTATATCCAGATTTTCCTCCAAACTCTTCAAGGATGTATTATCTGAGTTTTGGAGGCATTACGTGTATTTTAGACCCCATTCCTACAAAACTGCTCAAAGAAGTCCTGCCATTAATTAATTCTTCAATCTTAAATATGATCAACCTATCTCTAATGATC